GCTGGGTCCCGGGAACAGGCAATGTTTTGCACAGCACAATTGATCACACACCTAACCAAATTAGGCTTTGCGATCAATTGAAAAAAGAGCACCCCCATACCTCACCAACAGGCGTAGTTGGGAGTGGTGCTCGATGCAGGCGCGCTACGCGCCACCCTGTCAGAGAGCAGAAGTGCGTCCCTTCTCCGGGCGGTTCACAGGCTGCGACAGGGGGCGACAGTGACAGCTTTAACTGTCATGCAGACTTTGAGTCTCATGGCGGCTGCTCACATTGTGGTCCCGCTGGGGTTACTGCATATGCGCCGCCTGCAGACTGCAGAGGTGGTTCTCCAGCCTGCGTTTGGATCCCAAGGGGGACAAACGGCGGCTGGTGACCATCCCCCCCTCAGTGGAGGGCAACCTCCGGTTTTGGGGGTCCCCGGATCACCTCCGGAGGGGGTCTCCACTGGGACGGATGACCTCCTACATCACAGTGTTCACGGACGCATCCAGAACAGGATGGGGAGGGACCTGCCTGAAGAGGGCTATAGGTGGGCGCTGGGCTCTAACAGAGTTTCGACACAGCAACCTCCTAGAGCTACGGGCGGTAGTGTTAGTCCTCCAGCATTTCATGCCCCTAATTCAAGGGAGACATGTAATGGTCAGGAGCGACAACAGCACCACAGTGGCTTATATCAACAGGCAGGGCGGAGTCCGCTCCACCGCCTTGTTGACCACAGCGGAGAGGCTGTGGTTATGGGCTTCAGAGGTGGTGTTAGCCCTGAGAGCCCTCCATATCCCGGGACTGGAGAACAGGGGGGCCGACCTCATGTCGAGGGGCGGCCCCCTGCCAGGCGAATGGACGCTTCACCCGGAGATGGTGAAGCAGATCTGGGCCCAGTTCGGGAGAGCGGAAGTGGATCTGTTCGCCAGCCGGCGCAACAACCACTGTGCCCTGTGGTTCTCCATGGCCCTGGGCGACGACCCGCCCTTGGGGGTGGACGCGTTTGCACACGAGCCATGGCCAAGGAAGCTGCTATACGCCTTTCCACCGCTGCGTCTCATTCTCCCTCTCCTGGGGAGAGTGAGGCGAGAACGTCTGTCAGTCATCCTAGTGGCTCCGGACCGCGTCGGGGCGCCGTGGTACTCAGAGATGACACAGATGAAGGTGGGCCAGCCCTGGGCGGTTCCCCAGTTCTGGGGGGCGATGTCTCAAGTGGCAGGTGCAATCGGGGCGTTACCCACTCTCGGTCAACCTCTCCAGGCTTGGCTCCTGAGAGGGACAGGCTGAGACAGGGTGGATTGTCTGACAGTGTTATTCAGTCTATCCAGGCAGCTAGAGCTGGATCCACCACAGCCTATTACAGGCCAAGGTGGCTAGGATTCCAGCGATGGTGTGAGGAGAGGAGAATAGAGCCTCTATCTTGTGAGTTAGGCTCTATTTTTTCCTTCTTACAGTTACTGGTGGACAGAGGGCTTGCGCATTTAACAGTGAAAGTGTATGCAGCAGCCATCTCGTCCTGCCATGAGGGATTTGGCGGCAGGTCAGCTTTTAGTCAACCACTGATGGCTTTTTACAGGGGGTCAGGTGGCTGCGCTCAGTAGTGCACGCCTCCACCCCGCAGTGGGACCTGCCCCTAGTGCTCGGAGCTCTGGTCTTAGAACCATTTGAGCCTCTGGAGCTCTCCTCCCTAAAAGCACTGTTGTGGAAAACAGCTTTGCTTCTTGCCTTAACGTCAGCCAAAAGAGTGTCCGAGTTAACCGCTCTGTCGGTGCACCCGAGCTGTTTACGGATTCGGGGTGACCGGAGCGGCGCGACACTCAGACAGAACCCCTCCTTTGTGCCCAATAGCCTAAGGAGTGCGTTCAGGTCGAGGGCTATTCAGTTAGGGGGTTTTAGTCTTCCCCCCCATGGTGGGGACAGGGAAGCTAAACTGCACCTCCTCTGCCCGGTGCATGCGCTAGCATGTTATGTGGAGCGCACGGCTGCCCTTAGACGCACCGAACAGCTGTTCGTGTGCTTCGGGGGCGGGGTGATCGGGAAAGCTCTGTCCAAGAAACGCCTGGCAGGCTGGCTCTGCGAGTGCATTGCACATGCCTACGGACAGGCAGGGAGAGCCTGTCCCACACGGGCTGTAGCTGTGTCAACAGCCTTATTCAAGGGTGTGAGTGTGGAGGATATATGCACTTTCTGCGAGGTAAGCGCAGCAGGGTGTGCTCTGTCAGCCACAGCCCAGATTTCTTCTCGGTTACAACCGGGTTAAAGGAGAATGTGGGGCAGCAGCTGCTGACCAGAAAAGCCGGTCAGGGGCAGTAGGGTGGAATGTTGCTGGATGACAGTGCGCGTATACATCGGGGCTCCACCCACTGTACCCATAGAGTCCAGTAGAGGGCGGAGCCTGTGAGAGATATAACGTTGGGTTACGTATTGTAACCCTTGTTATATTAGCACAGGCGGAGCCCTCTACTCAGGGCACAGTCTGTCCGATTCCGCTCGCTGAAGAGAGGTGTAGGATGATAGTCAGGAGGCGAGGCCTCCGTTTATACGGTGTGATGCGCGCGCATTCAGGTAGGCCCGCCCAAGGCCGGCTACGTCTATAGAAGTCTCAGTGGGAGAATGCTCGCAGGGTAAGGTAGTACCCATAGAGTCCAGTAGAGGGCTCCGCCTGTGCTAATATAACAAGGGTTACAATACGTAATCCAACGTTCTATCTCTGCTTCCGTTCTTTACTATCCCACTTGTTTCAGGTTGTGTTGACTTCATGAGATGTTATCATGGTCCACTTATGTTGTATGTTTGATAAAAGTGAAGTTAGGTGCTCTTTTTTTGGTCTGATTGATTACCAAATACAGCATGCTAATGTTACGTCTTAAAAAAGGATGATTTTCCTTCCAAAACAAGGTGGTCTTATGAGCTTTAGCACGATAATAAAAGGCATCAATTATTAAATTGTGCGGAATGAACACATCAAAACTCAGTGTAGGGTAAGAAATGTGGCCAACTATTTTTTACAAAAGGACTATAAAATAAATGCACAGAGATGGAAAAATGTATTATTTCAACATTGACAACGATGTTGATTACCAGATCTATCCTTCTGTTTTAACGTTGCAAAATAAAAAGTGTGATATATACAAACTACCTATGTTTACCAAAGCCAATTTCATTCCAAAAGCTCAATAAAGTATAAAATGATGTTTAAGCCAAGCGCACATTTTAATTGTTTCAACTGCCATACATTTGCATAGCTTCCAGTATGTGAATAGTAACTTTGAACGCCAAATATTTGCATGTGAGCATTTCAAGTTTTGTGTTGTTTGTCTTCCGCCGGCTGTAAAAAGGCCTAAATGCTGAATATTTTTTTCATTTGTGTTGCCCAAGAGTTATGTTTTCTTTCAGTTGTTGGTTCTCACCACTAAATATAACGTAGGAGCCCAAATAACTACACATTTCTGATGAGAAAACAAGGATTTAATTTAACTTATTTGGCAACAATGTATTCAGAACTCAATTCGCTTCAATGCTAGTCACCCTGTGTCCTTAACTTTCTATAAGAAAATCACAATGTCATGAGCTCCATGTGAAAGTGTGTTAGCGAAAGTGGAACTTGGTTTCTTCATACCTCCACCTAATGGGTTCTCCTCCACCACAATACATCCTGCATATAACTGAGCACTTTGTAAAGTAATCTTTCATTGGGGAAATTCTGTCTGTGTTGTGACTAATTGATTCCCAATAGTGGATGTTATGACAGCTGCTTGTGCAGCCTGTGGGATGTAATCAAATCCCACATGTTGTTTAACCTTTTCACATCCACTCCAGCGGATTAGCTGCTGGCAGGCAGCACATGCACAATATTGAAATGTATGCGGATATCTGATTATTTTCATGGACAGTTGTTGGTTTTTCAGGAAGTAGTGTGTGTGGGTGTGTGTTGGTTATTCAGGCAGCTGTGTGTTTTTGTGTGTTGCTGGTAAATTGAGCTGCATTGAGCTACAGTACACTTTACTTTAAAAAAAAGTGCCGATGGTATTGCTCGTGGTATAACCGGCTGAGGTAATTGAGGTATTATTTTTCATTTTTTCATATTCTCTGATGATTTCCGGAGACAGTACTTATTAAATACTAAGAAAACTAAAACGTTTATTTCCCAAATCCCAGAATTGTTTAACATTAATATTTTAAGTGCAACAAGATGGGTAAAACAACACATATAGTGATTATTTTTTTGTCCTAAACATTTTGTTTGAAAATTAAGATGTTTTTGCACAGGAACATTAAAATGGTATGTTTGAGTTTACTGTACATCATGAAATAATAATCAGTAGGGGGTGTTAAGAGAAAGAAAATCGTAGCGGGAGCCGTGGTTGTTGTTTTAATTAAATTATTAAAACATCATTATTTTTCTCTATCTATTCAATTAGGATGATGGCATGAAAAAAAGGTTGTTGTCTAAGCAGTTTAGAGATGATTATCTCTATTAGTTTAGACATATTAAATACATCCCATCATTCTCTACCATTTCTGCCAAAGAAGGATAACAATATATTATATACTGTAGGATATGCATATGATAATTACATCACTTCTAATTATGTCAAATATAATTGTCTGAAACAGAGAAGTAGAGAACTTAAATTAAATCAAAGGATATTATGATGATATGTAAATCATTTAAAGTTTTGCCAAAAAAATTAAAAAATTCATCTTAGATTTTTCTGCTAAACACAGTTTCTTCAGTTCTTCACATGATTGACTTTGTTGATGATACAACATGATTAAGGAAGCTCGACCTAACGGCTTCATGCAGGAGACAGAACAGGAGAAAGTTGATATTGTGCTAATGTAAAGCTGTATGAATCCAATTTAATGTTTACAATAACAACCTGTCTGTATCTCTACTTAATGGTCGCTGAGTCTGTAAACTGTTAATATGCGTCTCTGGCAAGGTATTGTGCTAAAGAGCAATTTCTTTTGAATAAACAATAACATGCTAATTTCATTATTCCCTCTCCCTCAGGCGTGGAGGCGGAGCCTCTCTCTGAACTGGCACCTGTGGTTGTTTGGAGACTCATTGATGCCATCGAGAAACATGGTGAGAACATACAAACAGAAACACAGACACAAACTATTTCAACATTTCTGGGGAAATGCATGTGTTTAAGCCTGCACTGTTTGCACATTTTATTCCAATTTCATTATGATTCACAACATTGAAGGGATTGATTTGGTATCATTTGTTCCATTACCATAGAAAAAATAATTATATATAAAATAAAATAAATCTTTAATCTCTAGAATATCATTTGTATATCAGAACACCTTTGCAGCAACTCAATTATTAATCCAGAAGATATTTTGAAAACATATTTCAGCATATAGCACCTCATGCACATTTGGATTTGTATTAATCAGATTTAGCTTAAAGGTCATCTATTATGCAAGATGCACTTTTTTATGTCTTTTATACATATATTTGTCCGAAAGTACAACCCTCTCTCTTTTCCTCCTTACCCACCTCTAAAAAAGGGGGTTCAACGGAGCTGATCCAGATTTACTGCGGTCATGACGACAATGCTAAAATGTGGGCTGGCTTTACAGTGAACTCCTGGCAACGTCCCCCCATATACAGTTGGCTAGCTGAATCCCCTCCTGCAGCTGTCTGTCTGTCTGTGTATTCAGCAGGATGTCCTCAGGAGAGACTTAGAGTAAAGTTGTCATATATCTATAGTACATACAATGGCACTGTTCTAGCAGTAAACCCTGAAGAAAGAACATATATAGACATGTTTATTCACTGGGATAAACCCCTTGAGATGCACCATCTCGTTTTCAAGGGGGTCCCGACAATAGCAGCAACTTACAGACATACATTAACAAAAAGACAAAATGCAAAACATGACACACTAGACAAACCACATACAGTCTGTTAAGTAAAATTCAAGCAATCAATCAATCAATCAACAACTTTATTAACCCCGCAAGGGGCAATTGGTTATGTACACAGGCAGGAACATACAAGAAGAAAACACACAGATACACCCGGGAGCACAGATGTGGATAATTCCAATTTACACTATAAATAGTTAAAATGCATCACAATAATAAATAAATAAATAAATAATCAAGTTAAAAGCCTTTTCAAGAATTTAAAAGTTTGAGTGCAGAAGGGATGAATGATTTAGAAAAGCAATTAGTCCTTTGATCAGGTAGAGCATATCTACGCCCTGATGGCAACAGACGAAATTCATGCGAAAGTACATGACCTGGAGAGTTCAGAATGCTCTCTGCTTTCCGCAGAATCTGCTGGTTACAGAAGGAATTTAAGTCTCTCTGTTTCACGCCGATGATCTTGGAGCAGGTTTTAACAATGCTGTTCAGGCTGTTCCTGTCTTTCAGTGTAAGGCTATGGAACCAGCAGATAAAAGAAAAACAAATAAGGCTCTCAATGAATGCTTGGTAAAAACGACAAAGAATGAAAGGCCTGACAGAGAAAGAGTTCAATTTACGAAGAAGGGGCATTCTCTGTGGACCCCGCTTCACAATACACTCAGTATTCACATCAAATTTGAGGTGTTCATCGAAAATGGTGCCCAAGTATTTGTATGATGTGACAATTTCTACCTTGTCATTGTGTATGATGCACTCCTTAGGAACATCCTTGTGACGTCTAAAATCAATGATCAATTCCTGGGTTTTAGCGACATTTAAATCCAGAAAACGATAGTTACGGCTGTAACTACGGTTCTATGAGTCCCGGATGACCGCCAGAGGCGGTGCTTTAAGCACTGGATATGTCCATCGCGCGCATGCGCAGCTCTAGTACCAATAACAACAAAGTCACCTGTGACCCACGTGACACCGGCTATATCAGCCGATGTCGTCAGAGGATCTGTTCCCAGAATCTTCTCGCGAGCACACAAGAATTCTGAGTGACAGGGAACTCTGGCGGTCATCCGGGACTCATAGAACCGTAGTTACAGCCGTAACTATCGTTCTATTTCGTCCCTACTGACCGCCAGAGGCGGTGCTTTAAGCACTGGATGACTTATACCAACAATGTCATGAATAATCCAAGCCCTTGCTCACCACTGGAAACAGCGGAGCTCGGCAAAAGGACCACGCCCAAAGAATGGGGAGTGGCGACATTGACCTGATGACAACTGGAGAATGTGCCAGAAGACGCCCACGACGCCGCGGCGTAGATGGTCTCCAGGGGCACCACCCTCAGGGCAGCCCAAGATGTTGAGATGCTCCTTGTAGAGTGGCATCTCAGCCTGATGGCAGGGGGCGGCCACTGGCCCTGTAAGCCTGTGAGATGGTATCGACAACCCAGTGGGGCAGCCACTGGTTAGAGGGCATAACCTCCTTTAGTGCCGCCAGGGCAAAATCAAGAGTTGCTCCTACTGCCGTATACAGGCAGTAGCCTTGATATACGCCCTTTGAGCACCCCCAGGGCACAGCAACTTCGACGTGCTGTACTCCTGAATGTCAAAGCGTGCCAGCTGGGCAGGCTGATTGAAGTGGGTTTGTGGAAGGACCCCGGGCAGGAATGCCACATTTGCCCAAAGGGCAACGCCTGAGAGTCCCACCTCGGGCATGTATTGTTTATGGAGAGGACATGCAACTCCCCGACTCGCTTCCCTGAGGCTATGGCAAGCAGAAATGCTGCCTTCGTGGGCAGCCACCTAAGCCCCACCTGGGCCGCCACCTAAGCCCCACCTGGGCCAGGGGCTCGAAGGGAGGAGATGATATGGCATCCGGCAGCAGGGGCAGGTCCCAAGCCGGAGCCCACGGGGTGCTAGGGGGACGCTGCCGTAAAGCCCTTCTCATAAAGAGGGACACCGACCTGTGGCACCCCGCCGTGGCGCCGTCGACCCGAACATGTCGGGCAGAAATCGCAGCCACATAAATTCGGAGTGGAGTGAGAACGTCCACTATCTAGAAGGGACTGTTGTCTAAGCAACAACGTATGCTGTCCCCAAGGAACACACACATTCTTGCCACCCAGTTGGGGTAGAAAGTGCGTGAGTGCAAGCTGCACAGCCCGAAGCTCTAGCACGTTGACTTGGCGCGCACTCTCCTGGGCAGACCGCTGACCCTGAACGGTCCTGCCCTGCCGCACTGCACCCCACCCTGAGAGACATGCACCTATGGTGATGGTCTCCTGGCGGGATGGGATGGCGCCCATGGGCAAGCCTACTAGGAGATAGGCCCTGCCCCTCCAGCGTGACAGAGAGTGGAGGCAATGCTGCGACACTCTGACTTCCCTGTGCCTGTGCCACTTGGCGTCCAAGTGAAGGCTGTTCAGCCACATCTGCATGGGGCGCAACGACAGCGGGCCTAAGGGCCCAGCGGCCGAGGCAGCTGCCAGTCTGCCCAAGGGCCGGAGGAACTGAATATAAGGCACCATCTTTCCCGGCCCACGTGGAAGTAGGCATCCCTCAAGTCCACGGTTGAGAACCACTCCACCTTGTGCATATGCAGTGGTCAGCATATAGAATGGCAGCACCTTCGGGAATCTGTTGATTCCTCTGAGGTCCAAGATCGGGCGAAATCCGCCGACTTTCTTGCTCACGAGAAAGTACGCCGAGTAGAACCCCCTGGGCTACGCAGAGGGTCTTACTGGCTTGATTGCGTCCTTGGACAGAAGGACGGACAACTCTTGGGCCAGAGCTAGGGCCCCTGCCGGATCGCTGACGACTGTCAATTAGACCCAGCCGAAGGGGTACGGAGCTGCGGTCCGTACCCCTGGGTTAAGGTGAAAACCACCCAAGGGACGGAAGTACAGAACGCCCAGTAACTGAGCTGCCGACGACTGCCCCCGGGATTTCAGGGCCCAGCCCCCCGGCCCCTGGAGCCTCTTGGGGGGCGCCGGTAAGGCTCTGGGGCACGAGGCCGCCTGGAAGGCGGGCGACCTGGGGCACGAAAGTCATTGGGTCGCGCCGCTAAGACCTCTGCAGACCACCCCTGTAATCCGGCGGCTGAGTGCGGCTGCTAGAGCGGCCCCTGGGCCTGCTGGGAGTGGGCACAGGTCTGCGAAGACCCGAGAGCTGCTGCCTGGTCTGCCTAGCTTGGGCGGCACGCTCCAGTGCCTCCAGGGCAGCTGACCTAAACAGCTCCCCTGGCTCGACTGGTATGCTACGGAGGACTCTCCTACATGCCTCTATTAGTGGTGACTGGGCCAGCGAAACCTGGCGACGAGTCTGTACCAGCGACAAGGCGTCCTCATACAGAGGTGCGTCAACTGAAGGAGGTGCGTCAGCCGAAGAAGGTGCGTCAGCCGAAGGAGGTGCGTCAGCCGAAGGAGGTGCGCCAACCGAAGGAGGTGCGCCAACCGAAGGAGGGGCGTCAACCGAAGGGGGTTAGGACAGGCGGCCCGCTAGCAGCCCCTACACCGGGCCCAGGCTGAAGGGCCAAGAGGCGACTTCATCATGCCCCTATCGGCAGCTAGCCGATCCACTTTAGAGGACAGCCTGTTTCTAGTCCTTCTATTGGGGGGAGCACACATAGCCATCGCTCTCTCAAGTCGCCGGGAACTGCCGAATTGATCTGGATGAGGATGTGACAAGGAGAGGTGTCTGTTGGCTGCTGCCAGACGTTCCACCTCAGTGATTCTAGCCACTCTGAGCGCCCGAGGCATGCAGCTACAGCTCATGCAGGCGTTTACCGTGAGAACCTCCCTCAGATGCTCACATTTCGTCCCCACTGACCGCCAGAGGCGGCCGAGGCAGGAGGGGCAGCGGTCGTGGCCGTCCTCGGGCTCAAAAGAAGCCATACAGGCGCTACATGAATGAGCCATTCTGTAGGTAGCCAGATGCAGCGTAGCCGGGAGCGGGTGCGGGAACACAGCCTTCACCAGCTACCTGCTTAATGAAAAGAGTAGAGCGTTGCTGCTACTCGCCGAACAGAAAGAGGGATGTAATTACACCCACGTTACCGGCAGAGGGAGCGGGAGCGAGAGCACTGCCTTCACCTGGCTGGATTAATAAACACGGCAGTTCAGCGTCTACCAGGAGCGGGGGCGAGAACACTACCTTCACTGGTTGAGTTAGAGACGAATGCCAGATGCAGCGTAACCGGGAGCGGGTGCGG